GTAGCTCATGTACATTAAATGAAGTACTTTCGCTGCCTACTTATCAACTCGGCGTGCTTTTTATGTGTCCGGTCCTTATCCCGCAAGGTGTATATACCACGTGCTCGTGATAGCCAGAACATATGCATAGGGCCACTGTCGCTTTCTCGGTGCATTTGCGTCGTCGTGCTGGCTTACGGTGCTTACGCTTCTGATGTGTCAGTCTATATGACCAAGCAGGTCACTAACTGGACACAGGCCATACTGCAGCGATACAGGTATGCTGAACGCGCGTCTGCTAGCAGTAGCCAACGCGATAAAAAAGCGAAAGAAGGCCAAAATTTTTTCCCCGAGGGGGGGCACAACCTCCAAAAATTCCCCCTCGCATTTCCAACGCAATCTCTATTTCGGTCATTATGGGCAGGGCACACAAGTACATTATTGCTTACAGCCACACCGACTTGCCACGTCCATCTGTACGGTCTGCACTGTCACGCAGTGGTAGTATCTATGTAAACAGCAGCTCATTCGTCGCACGTAGTTCCCACTCAATACTGTGGTTTAAATTGTGAGCGCTATAAGAGCTGATGGTACAGATAACATGGTTTTGCGTGTGCCCACGTGAGCGAGGGTACGTGCCATCTACGGTGACGCGTATACAGATAGGGACGGCCAGCTTGCCGAGGTACACAGTACATACCTCGTGCTAGTTATTATATGAAACGCGCTACGCTCTATAGGTGCGTCAACACGTTTGGTAGCGCCACAGTCAGCTTACAGTATGTGCGACCCCAAGCCTTGCACCGTCAGCCAGTATACAAAACTATGCGGGGTAAGGGGATATAAGGATGTATATCTAAATCACCTGCTCTTCTGCTTCTTCTTTTGCTCAATGTACCTGACGTTTCGGGCGGTCAGCTTGCGAGGGCGGCTGTGTCTATTTTGCTTCTTGAGGGCCCATCACCTTCTCGACGTTTGGCAGGCTTTCCTGGCGGCGCACTTCGGTCGAATCAGGTGGTGGAAGCTTTTCCTCCTAGGACTTAACCGGTTTTGGGCCGTTCTTGCAGGCAATACAGTGTCGCACGCTGCCCCATCCGCTGAATGTACGGAACGCGTAGCCGTACTGCAGCTTCCCGCAGCAGACGCAGCGCGCCCGGGCATTCGTCGTAGACCGCTGCGGGTTCAGCAGAAGCGGGTCAATCTTCGCCTTGCATTGCTTGCACGTAGGGCCCACCATTTTGCAAACTGTGAGTATGTTAGCAAATTATATTGTTTTAACCAATTACTTGCGTCCAAATATTAGCCAATAGCACGGTACTGTAAGGCTGGTATTTATTATTAGACAAAATATTAAAATGTTTTTAAATATTACAATTTGGCTTTGCTATAATATATTATCAGATTTTTAAGCATATACATACTTTATATGCAATATAAATTGACTAAATTCACTATGTACCGTGCGCGCATGCATCTGTCGGGTGTGGTGCACGGGAGCAGATAGCGAAATGCCCGTGCAGCTGCGCGCCTTCATTGCACGGTGGCAGTGGTGAGTTCCAGGTAAAGTACAAAATATATATATTCGCAAAGTCGCTACAAAAAGCGCTGGTCGTGAAGTCTACTTTAATATTAAAAATACTATCGTCTCTACTTAAGAAAATGTGTGGAAAATAGCATCGCCGAGATCTTACAAATGCGTCTGTGAAGCTTCCGTTAATTAAATTAATACTATTAATATCGTCTTTACTTTGAAAAGTGTGTGGAAAATAACATCCCAGAGCTCTTACAGAATACCGGTCTGTGAAGTCTACATTAATAATGATAAATATCTCTATTTGAGAAGTGTGCAGAGCTCTTAGAAAATAAAGTGGTTAGTGTGCCCGATTTGCAGTATCTGCGCAGCTAGCCTGGCCGTTTGCATCTAATCGATGCGTTTCGTGCTCGGCAGAAATGTTTACCTTACGTCCAATCGCGAGGGTCTGATCGTGCGACAGATCCAGTCAGTGTCGCAGGTCAGCAGGTATTGACCAATCAGGGCGCGAGTTAATTGCGTCACGTTTTTGGATATATTTGTAATTTTGGCATAGTTAAGTCGAGTCAGAAAGGTAGGCGCGGTCGGAAAGATGGGAGGAAACTCTATTGGAAAGGCCGGGTGTAGCCATGCGAAAAGGCAGGAAAACGCAGCAAGAAAGGAACCGGACGGACTTATTGACAGACGGACGGACACGCTACAAGTTTAGGGGGCGGGAAACTAGCGCTCTGGGCGCCCGCTCCGCGGACGCTAGGGCATAGTTGGTTGGTGTAGAGAGGGCCGACCACCTCCGCTGCGCTGCAGTGGGCTTAGAATTTCTACTCAAAGCGAAGCAACATATAGTACATGTATACTGTGAGCTACGTATATTACGGTTCAAAACAACACCGCACACAGTATCCTTAGTGCTCACATGT